TTGTCCAGGATATGTCTCACTGTATCCTCAGGTACTGTGAAATTCCAGGAGGTTGATGTTTTTTTTATGCCAGTAACTGGGCTTTCTCCAATGTTGATCTCACCATTCTGTTTCTCTGATCATGTGGAAGCTGATACTAGTTTTTTTCTGCTGAACTTGTCCTGCTATAGAACTCACATGACTGAACATGTTCATGTGTAGAGATCTGCTCTAAGATTATTACATGTATCAATATAGATATCTCCCAAATTGATATAGCTAGATCATAGTTATCATTTTATCAGAGAGAAAACCTATGATCACACAGCAAATGCTGCAAAGGGCCACCGAAGAAGTAAGCCTCTAAGGTGGCACTCTCTAATGCTTCCTGGCCGTCATAGTTCTTGCTCATCAAAACTGTAGCTCTTGGTCAATATTGATTAAATGTTTATAGCATGTGTGCTCCAGGAGGGAACTGTTTTATCTGTTATGTTTCTGGTACTGAAAATAATGTTTAGAACATTTGTGAAATAAGTGAGCAACTTTGTGTTCTTTCTTGAAGGAAATGTTCTCTCTGTGTTCAGTGAAGCCAGTTTGAGATTCAGACTGTAAAGTGTGAAGTTTGTCTGAATTTTGATGCAATGTACTGGAAAAAATCACGCATGCTGTGTCTACCTGGTGAGGGTCTCAGGACTGTGACATTCCTTCTCCTTCATTCCCAGCAGGAAGAGGACCATGAGGAAGGGGAACCAGAGCAGCGTGTCTGAGTTCATCCTCCTGGGCCTCCCCATCCAGCCAGAGCAGCAGGGCATCTTCTTCACCCTGTTCCTGGCCATGTACCTGACCACGGTGCTGGGGAACCTGCTCATCATCCTGCTCATCAGGCTGGACTCTCGCCTCCACACCCCCATGTACTTCTTCCTGTGCCACCTGGCCTTCTCTGACATCTCCTTATCATCTGTCACCATCCCAAACATGCTCAGCAACATGCAGACTCAGCACCTGTCCATCCCTTATGAGGGGTGCATCTCTCAATTGTATTTTTTCTTGTTTTTTGCAGCTGTTGACAATTTCCTTCTTGTAGTGATGGCATATGACAGGTATGTGGCCATCTGCCACCCACTGCACTACATGGTCATCATGAGAGAGGAGATGTGTGACTTATTGGTGGCTGTATCTTGGTTCCTCTCTTGTACACATGCCCTTCTGCATACCCTGCTCCTGTCCCACCTGTCCTTCTGTGCTGACAACACTATTCCCAACTTCTTCTGTGATCTCAATGAACTCCTGAAGCTGACCTGCTCAGACACTGCCCTCAATGAGCTGGTCATCTTCACTGAGGGAGGTGTGTTGACTCTCCTGCCCCTGGGTACTATTTTGGGCTCTTATATATGTATTGGTTTTACTGTCCTAAAAGTCCCCTCCACAAAGAAGATCTGCAAAGTTCTGTCCACCTGTGGTTCCCATCTCTCTGTGGTGTTTTTGTACTATGGGACTCTTGCAATCATTTATTTTTTTCCTTCCTCAAACAATTCCAAAGTCAAGGATGTAATTGCTTCAGTGATGTATGCAGTAGTAACACCCATGCTGAACCCCTTCATCTATAGCCTGAGGAACAGAGACTTGAAATTGGCTCTGGGACTGCTAATTAAAAGAGGGCTTGTTTTTGTCAAGTCAGTCTGGTGGAACTAACCTCCTTGGGTGTTTAACAGCCATACTTTGAGGCCTATACTAATTTGGTCCAACAGACATAAAGGACAGTTTTTGCTCCTTGCCCTCCTAGCTTAACAAAGTTCCAGAGGACTATGAGCATCTCTCAAAATGTCCTGTATCTGCAGTGAGTCACCTGTCCTCTTGATCAAGAAGGCCATGGAGACCCCACCAGATGGACCTGAACCAGTTTTCAGCCTTCAAAGAGAAGGGTCAATACAGAGGATACATTTCCTCCATGCTTCCTAGTGAAGCCATCCATGGTCGAGCAGGACCTTTGACTTATCTTCATGTAGATAGAACTGGTAAAAGAAAGTAGCCAGGGGCTCCTCCCAAGCCCATGTTACCCAGAGGAGCAGATACTCAAATGACCTTAAGAGTAAAAATATTTTTGTCTGGGCCAACTGTAGGATCTTAAACACCCAAAAGGAAAGTATAACCAAAGATTAATGGGGTCGATATAATTTTTAAGAGTCCATATATATAGCTAAAAGGCTACATAAGAATAAACAATGCCAGACAGGCGATACCTTCCTTTAAGTTATTAACCAAGGTGGCGCAAGAGACTCCCAGACAGTAACCCAGCATAGAACTGGGAAAATGAACAGCAGACCCAAATCTTATCTAAAAGAACATTCCTCTGGAAATATAAGCTCAAATGAACTCTTCCTTCTATAAGTTCCCTTGGTCACCATGTTTTATCACAGCAACAGAAAAGTAACTAGTACAGTGTCGTATGGTGTACCTGTCTGCAAATAAAAAGGTCCAGATTTAGCAAACCCTAATAAATTATACTTGTATAGGGATATATAGAGGTAGGGTTTTCTCTGGGATATATGGCCTCTCCAGCCATGTGTATTTGGCTATGTTTACAGTGTCACATAGAACCCATGCAAACTCAATCAGACAGAAATCCAGCATAGAACTGGGGAAATGGGCAGCAGGTCCCAACCTTAACTAAAGATATATTAGCAGCGTATTACTGCTGGTTGAGGGACACTTGATATTCTTTAGGGGAGAAATTCTAGGTAGGCTTACTAGACTCCAGTGGTTGAACTTACACTGAGGGACATCTGGGTATACAAACTGGACTTGACAGGCCTTAAAATAGACCGCAGAAGGCATGAAATCCGGTGGGAAGGACTACGGAGGTGTTGGATGAGGGAGGGGATATAAAGATGATTGAGATAGTTTTTATTGGGTCAGGAGAGATGACCCAGCAGTTAAGAGAACTGGCTGCTCTTGCAGAGGACTCAGATTCCATTCCTAGCACCACATGGCAGCTAACAACCATCCATTGCCCCATATTCAAGGAACCTGAAACCCTCTTCTGACCTCCACTGGCACTGCATGACATGGGTTCACTTACATACAGGCAGGCAATATACTCATACATATAAAACAGAATAATCACATTTTTAATAGATATTTTGCATGAAGTACACAAAAGTTCATTAAAAATATACATTGAAATAAAAGGACAATTTGAGCTTCATTAAAAAATGAAAAAAATGAAAAAAATATATTTTATGTGTATACATGTATTATCTTCATGTAGGTGAGTGCACCCGTGTTGTGCAATGCCCCCAGAGGACAGAAGAGGCTGTTGGATCCCCTGGAACTGGAGTTACGGACAGTTGTTAGCTGCTATGTGGGTGTTGTTCTGTAAGAACACTTAGTGTTCTTAACCTCTGAGCCATCTCTCCAGCCCCTCAAGGTTCATTTCTATGTGTGCCCTGAATTCTCTCTGGGTCTCCTGCACGATCAGACAAACCATATAATATATTTTATGTGTATTTATTAACTTACAAAGGAATGAGCACCCAGTGCCTAGCCCTGCACCACCAGGACTCAGAGCCCGCCTTATGAGACCGTGCCACACCCATAGCCCATGCTAGCATTCACACATGCCTCCAGGGCCAGCAATCTCGCCCAGGTCTACAGGGAGTCAGTCCATTCTGTCTTTCAGTTGCTGCACTGGCTGCGAATTTCCTATACCATCAAACTCTACCAGCGGCTCCTGACCGCCATCCCAAGATGGCTCCCAGCTTCCCTTCCTAGTTCCTGCTCCATGTCAGGCCCCGCCCATTGGAAGAACCAGCCAATTGGGAGACACTATGTTACAAGACAATATAGTATGTGCTGGGGGACTTTGTCTCTGGCCATGAGGTTACAGAAAAGGGTAATGTGGGATGTGAGGGAGGAGTAGCTTTACCACATTATATTTGGGATTTAGCTGTGACATGTATATGTGTCTATATATAGGTGACATATATGTTTATTTACATATATGTAAATCAATCAATCAATAAATTTGGGTTAAAAAAAGAACTCAAATAAATCAATAACAATATTCTTAGTAACTCATTTCAAAATGGGCAAAAGTGGAGACTAGACATTGATCTAATAAGCACTAAAAAGTGCCAACACTCAGGAAAAAGTGCTCTGCTGTCATTCCTCATTGTAGAAGATCCACAGACTTATCAACTCAGATACGATATGCTGGCTATCATCCAAAA